AGGCGCAGGCGCCCCCCCCCCCAGCCCCCCCCCGGGGGGGGGGGACCCCGTGACGGGGGGGGACACCCGGGGAGAGGGGACACCCCCCAGGGGAGGGGGAGGGGAGAGGAACCTCCCCAGGAACCCTGGGAGATGTCACCATCGCGGTGGGGACACGGTGGTGGGACCCAAGGGACCTCCAGACAAAGAGGATACCTCCTGGGGGAGGGGGAAGGGGAGAGGAACCCTGGGAGATGTCACCATCTTGGTGTCACCATCTCTGTATCACCCTCTTGGGGACACGGTGGTGGGACCCAAGGGACCCCCAGACAAAGGGGACACCCCCCGGGGGAGGGGGAAGGGGAGAGGAACCCCCCTGAGGAACCCTGGGAGATGTCACCATCTCAGTGTCACCATCTCTCTGTCACCATCCTGGTGTCACTGTCACCAGCCACCCCCTTGGGGACACGGTGGTGGGACCCAAGGGACCTCCAGACAAAAGGGGACACCTCCCAGGGAAGGGGGAAGGGGAGAGGAACCCCCCGAGGAACCCTGGGAGATGTCACCATCTCAGTGTCACCCTCACCAGCCACCCCCTTGGGGACACAGTGGTGGTGACACCACAGGGGGGATGGTGACACCTTGGGGACATTGAGGCCACCTCGGGGACACTTTGTGGCCACTCACCACCTCCCAGGTGCGCTCCTTGTTGAGGGTGATGAGGACGAGGGAGAGGTTGAGGAGGTGACACGTTGAGAGGGCAACATGGGGAGATGGTGACACCTTGGGGACACCCTGGGGACACCTTGGGGCCACCCACCACCTCCTAAGTTCACTCCTCGTTGAGGGTGATGATGATGAGGGAGGGGTTGATGGGGTGACACGTTGGTGGGGCAACATGGGGAGATGGTGACGCCTTGGGGACACCTTGGGGCCATCTTGGTGACACCTTGGGGACACTGGGGACATCTTGGGGATGTTGAGGCCACCTTGGGGACATCTTGGGGCCACTCACCACCTCCCAGGCGCGCTCCTTGTTGAGGGCGATGACGACGAGGGAGGGGTTGACGAGGAACCCGTCCTCGTTGAAGGAGAAGTCCCGCTGCCCCCAGGTGATGTTGGAGAAGTACCTGGGGAAGAGGAAGAGGGACACCATGACGTCACCACAACATCACCATGATGTCACCGTGACGTCACCATGAGGTCAGGGAGGGAGGGGGTGTCCCACCACTCACCGGTGCAGCCCGCGCCGGGCCGGGGGGTGCCCCTGGGGGTCCACGATGTCACTGTGATGTCACCAAGTGGGAAGAGAAGAAGGGAGGGAGGGGGTGTCCCACCACTCACCGGTGCAGCCCGCGCCGGGCCGGGGGGTGCCCCTGGGGGTCCTGACAGTCCCTGGAGAAGTTGGGGACCCCCTGGGGGTCCGTCAGGAGGGCTCTTGCCCCCTGGGCCAGGATGGCCACCCCCCGGCGCAGCCGCTGGCCCAGCTCGTCCCTCCAACCGGCCGAGAGGACGGCGAAGAGCCCGGCGGGGGCTTCGGGGGGCACCTCGGAGCCCCCCGCCCCCAGTTGGGCCCCCACCAGGAACCAGACGTAGCCCGGCCCGGCCACCCCGGCCTCCTGCGCCCCCCGGAAGAGCGCGGGGGCCTCCTCGGGGGAGCAGAAGAGGAGCCGGATCTGGGCGTCCAGCTCCCGCAGTTGGCGGCGCCAACGGGTGCCCCGGGGGTCCTGGGTGAGGTTGAGGGTGAGGACCCCCCGGTGCTCCCACCCGATGAAGCTCCCGTCCGTCAGCCCCTCCACGTAGGAGACGAAGGCCTCGTGGCCCGGGCGCAGGGTGGTCACCAGCGCGAAGGTGGTCCAGTCGTACTCCTCCAGCACCTCGAAGATCACCTGCAGCTGCTGCTCCGTGGAGGAGCCCAGCTGGAGGAAGGTGGAGCCCGGCTCCTGGGGAGGGGGGACACATGGGGGTTGGGGACACCACGGGGATGGATGGGGAGACCACGGGGATGGATGGGGACACCACGGGGATGGATGGGGACACCACGGGGATGGATGGGGAGGGTTTAGGGGGTTCTGGAGATGGTTGGGGTTGGGTTGGGGAGGGTTTAGGTGGTTCTAGAGATGGTTGGGGACAGTTGGGTTGGGGATAGTTGGGTTGGGGAGGGTTTAGGGGGTTCTGGAGATGGTTGGGGATGGGTTGGGGAGGGTTTAGGTGGTTCTAGGGATGGTTGGGGACAGTTGGGTGGCCCTGGAGATGGTTGGGGTTGGGTTGGGGAGGGTTTAGATGGTTCTAGAGATGGTTGAAGATGGTTTAGGTGGTTCTAGAGATGGTTGGGGATGGGTTGGAGAAGGTTTAGGTGGTTCTAGAGATGGTTGGGGATGGGTTGGGGAGGGTTTAGGTGGTTCTGGAGATGGTTGAGGATGGGTTCAGGAGGGTTTAGGTGGTTCTAGGGATGGTTGGGGACAGTTGGGTGGCCCTGGAGATGGTTAGGGTTGGGTTGGGGAGGGTTCAGGTGGTTCTGGAGATGGTTGGGGATGGGTTGGGGAAGGTTTAAGTGATTCTAGGGATGGTTGGGGAGGGATTAGGTGGTTCTAGAAATGGTTGGGGAGGGTTTAGGTGGTTCTAGGGATGGTTGGGGATGGTTTAGGTGGTGCTGGAGATGGTTGGGGATGGGTTGGGGAGCGTTTAGATGGTTCTAGAGATGGTTGGGGAGGGTTTAGGTGGTTCTAGAGATGGTTGGGGACAGTTGGGTGCCCTGGGGATGGTTGGGGTTGGGTTGGGGAGGGTTTAGATGGTTCTAGGGGTGGTTGGGGAGGGTTTAGGTGGTTCTAGAGATGGTTGGGGACAGTTGGGTGCCCTGGGGATGGTTGGGGTTGGGTTGGGGAGGGTTTAGATGGTTCTAGGGGTGGTTGGGGATGGTTTAGGTGGTTCTAGGGATGGTTGGGGATGGTTTAGATGGTTCTGGAGATGCTTGGAGGAGGGGGTAGATGCTTCTAGAGGTGGTTAGGGATGGTTTAGATGGTTCTAAAGGTGCTTGGGGAGGGTTTAGGTGCTTCTAGGGACAGTTTGGGTTGGGTTGGTGACAATTTAGATGGTTCTAGGGATGGTTGGGGACACTTTAGGTTGTTCTAGAGATATTTGGGGATGGTTTAGATGGTTCTAGAGATGCTTGGGGGGGGTTTAGGTGCTTCTAGGGATGGTTGGAGAGCATTTAGATGGTTCTAGAGATGGTTGGGTAGGGTTTGGGTGGTTCTAGGGATGGTTGGGGACAGTTTAGATGGTTCTAGGGGTGGCTGGAGAGGGTTTGGGTGGTTCTAGAGATGGTTGTGGAGAATTGAGGTGGTTCTAGGGGTGGTTGGGGACAGTTTAGATGGTTCTAGAGATGGTTGGGGACAGTTGGGTGCCCTGGGGATGGTTGGGGTTGGGTTGGGGAGGGTTTAGATGGTTCTAGGGGTGGTTGGGGATGGTTTAGGTGGTTCTAGGGATGGTTGGGGATGGTTTAGATGGTTCTGGAGATGCTTGGAGGAGGGGGTAGATGCTTCTAGAGGTGGTTAGGGATGGTTTAGATGGTTCTAAAGGTGCTTGGGGAGGGTTTAGGTGCTTCTAGGGACAGTTTGGGTTGGGTTGGTGACAATTTAGATGGTTCTAGGGATGGTTGGGGACACTTTAGGTTGTTCTAGAGATATTTGGGGATGGTTTAGATGGTTCTAGAGATGCTTGGGGGGGGTTTAGGTGCTTCTAGGGATGGTTGGAGAGCATTTAGATGGTTCTAGAGATGGTTGGGTAGGGTTTGGGTGGTTCTAGGGATGGTTGGGGACAGTTTAGATGGTTCTAGGGGTGGCTGGAGAGGGTTTGGGTGGTTCTAGAGATGGTTGTGGAGAATTGAGGTGGTTCTAGGGGTGGTTGGGGACAGTTTAGATGGTTCTAGAGATGGTTGGGGACAGTTGGGTGCCCTTGGCCATGCTTGGGGTTGGGTTGGGGAAGGTTTAGATGATCTAGAGATGGTTGGAGAGCGTTTAGGTGGTTCTAGGGATGGTTGGGGATGATTTATGTGGTTCTAGAGATGGTTGGGGAAGGTTTAGATGGTTCTAGAGATGGTTGGAGAGGTTTTAGGTGGTTCTAGGATTGGTTGGGGAGGGTTTACATGGTTCTAGAGATGGTTGGGGATGCTCTAGGTGGTTCTAGAGATGGTTGAAGAGCGTTTAGATGGTTCTAGGGGTGCTTGGGGAAGGTTTAGATGGTTCTGGAGATGCTTTGGGGAGCGTTTAGGTGCTTCTAGAGATGGCTGAGGAGGGTTTAGATGGTTCTAGGGATGGTTCGGGTTGGGTTTAGATGGTTCTGGAGATGGTTGTGGACAGTTTAGGTGGTTCTAGGGACTGTTTGGCCCCCGGGGGCGCCCCCCAGCCCCACTTTACCCCCCGTACCTTGGGCGTGAGGACGGCGGCGGCCCCCCCGCTGACCCCCAGGATGGGGAGGGAGGTCTGTGCCGAGAGGAAGTGGAGGATGGGGGCCAGGGCCCCCCCGGCGTCGGCGCCGGCGTCGTCGAAGAGCAGCCCGTGGAGGGGCAGGGAGGAGAGCAGGCGGCAGAGGCGCAGCAGGAGGCTGCGCGGGTCCGTCTCGTTCAGCACCACCCCCACCGCCCGCACCCCCAGCCCCCCCAGCGCCTCGGGGG